AATTGGGTTGATTACTAAAAGAGTGCAATGTCAAATTAAAGGTCATGACATTGTATGTGACATGCTACTGCAATCAAAGTACAAGGATTTTATTGTGCTTGCAGAACAAATTCATTGGTTCTGTCATCATTGTGTTAAGGATCTTGCTACAGGCTTATATTGACACTCCTAAGCTTGGTATGACTAAGAAGCTTTAGGAAGTATTTTCATCATAACTTGAGGTGCAAGTTACATTGAGAATATGAGGGGTGATTTTGGAATTGTACTATTGAAAAATTATAATAGTAAATGTTTTGAACGGTCTGTCAACTATATTCTTTCACCTAGTGGAGTGTGTAATTTCAGAAGAATAATTTTCAATGGCATGGAGAATGTCATTTCAAATATTGTAACATTTTTCAGCAGGCAAAGCCTTGAAAGAGAGAAAAGTTGAATAATGGGGTGTCTCTCTCCTATGGTGAGTGGTGCACTATTACTAAAGAAGATTTTATCTCTTTCCAATAACACTTTCATTGACTGGTCTATCATTACAAGCAAGGTTTTGTTAAAAACTAGGTAACTCTCCTTGTATTTAAAGACCTTACTACCTCACCATCCTCACAAACTACGTTTCATCACGAGCAAATCTTCCAAAAATTGTTGATGCAAAGAAGGCTCTTCTGTTGGAAACCAAGAAGGAAGTTGGTTCTGGTTCAAAGAAAGTAGTGTCCAACATTATAACAAATGTTGAAACATATACTGTAACATCTAGAACAGGGAAAATATCTGTAACAAAGATGAAGTCCCTCAAGAAGAATCATGTTTAGTTACATGACTCAAATTTAGACGTTGATAAAGATTGAGTCAATTCCATTGACTCGAGAGGTTGTGCTTGGACAGCTACTATATTTATAAAGAGGTGTGTTTTTTTGCTTGTTTGTCTGTTCATTGAGTCAGTCTTGTTTTGAGTCATTTTTAACCCTTAGTTTTGTCTCTTTGGGCAAGTCTGTTCTTTCTTTTTGTTTCTTTTAAGTTTGTTTGGTGCTATTAGTCCTGCATCAATTCATAGAGTTAATTTTCCTTTGTTTGTCTTGAATCAATTCTTGCTTCTATTGATTCTTTTTGTGTCAGTTTCTTTTCACTCTTTTTTTTTGTGTCAATTTTTGACTAAAAATGGGGAGAAAAGTATAATTGTCTAGTCTGAAGTTGTTGCTTGTGGTATGCAACAATTTAGGGTGGAGCATGACTATTTGTCATGAGAGTATTGTTTGCAAGATTTCCTATATGATGTTATAACATCCTGTCTGTTGTGTCTTATGTTCTGAGTTATGAGCATTATTGTGTTTTGTGCTCTGAGTTTTGTCATTTACTTCTGCTGCATGTTCTTCTAATATGTTGAATTCTTGAGAGGGAGATTTATCTCTGTGACAAGAATTGGTTATGTGTTTTAAGGGGGGAGTAACTTGGATGGTTCTGAAGATGTGGACCATCTTCTTCCTCATGTACAAAGTCTACATGTTTAGCATGTAGCTTGTGTTTGTGTAACTGCTGTATCTTTGATACAATTTTTGTGCAGTTTGATTTGTGGCTTTATTCCTTCGTGGTCTTATTCCTTGTGGTTTTATCTCTCCTGTCGACTTTATTTGGCTTTGGTTGTTTTAGCCAAAAATTACCAAAGGGGGGAGATTGTTAGTTTCATGATTATGGTATTGGCAACAATTTTGCTAAAACATGCTTCACATCAAAGATGTTATGGGAGATGTTCTAACAAGCTGGGAAGATTCACTGAAGAAAGATGTTCTGTCAGATGTTGTGACATTCTGTACCAGAACATGTACAAGTTGTTTTAAATCTTGACATATTTAATTGGATTCTGTGATACTCCTTTTGGATATATCTCAGTAAATTTCGCAGGTCAAGAAGATTTAATATGGAACAAGTTTTGTATCTCCAGTTGTACATAAGTTACTAAATTGGGCCGTAAGACAATTTAGGAAACTTGGTATTGTTTATTCCAAGATTTGAGGAGATTTTACTGCACAATTGGTGCATCACTCAGCTTGTGGATCAAGGAATATCTGGATGCAAATTTCAAAGCCCATGGACTACAGAGGTCTATTTAAAGAGAATACCTAAACCCAACGAATTAATTTCCTTCAATTAAGTTTTTCATATTTTGTAAATTAGGGGAAATTTAAAGTCTTAGGTTTTGAGAGTCTCTTGTGTGGGTGTAAGCCACCCTTTTATCTTTTGATACTTGTGGTAGACATAATTTTCTCACTCAGAAGCCTTTAGGTAATGAGTTGAGTATTGTTCTTGGATGAAGCTTTTAAGAAACACCAATTATTTTTGTATTTGAAGTGTAATCTTCTTGTTGTGTTGTTCTTGATATAGTCACTGTGATTGGGACACTTAGATATTACTGAGGTGATTTAGGAAGTGAGATGGGGTTTCTCATATCTAGATGGTGATTTCTAGGTAGAAGTTGCACTGGGTAGGAATTAAGTGAGAAATTGTAAATTGGAATTGTTTAGGCTTTGAGTTGATACTATTAATAATGAATTTCCTTCTTGGCTTGGTATCCCTCAAAGTAGGTGATGTTGCACCAAATTGAGTTTACAATTCTATGTGTTATTTATCAGTCTGCAGTTTTATTTTAGAATCACTTGCATCTTGATAAATTTGTTTAGTCTGTCAACAGATGTTGTAACATCTGTCTTGACATTGTTCTGATGTTGGGACATAAGTATTAATATGTGTTGCATGTACCAGAATTTCATAAACCTTACTAAGAACCCAATTGTACATGGGAGGAGCAAGCATATTGAGATGATGCTTCACTACTTGAGAGAACTTGTTAGTGCAAGAAGGTTGAGATTGGGATATTGTAGAAATAAAGACCAAGTGGCTGATTTTTTGATCAAGGGAATCACAATTGAAGTGTTCAATAGATTAAAGATGAACACGGGCATGGAAGAATTCGAGCACTTGAATTAAGATTGTGTGTTAAGAGAAAATTCATAATTCAAGTGTTGTAATCAGTTACCTCTGGGGTGTAACCGGTTACAGATATGGAGAAAAGTCAAATAATCTGGAAATAAGTTGTTTTCTCATGGGTGTAATCGATTATGCATTTGCAGTAACCGGTTACCACTATTATGTTTTTAGTTTTTGTAGCAGTTGTAACTGGTTACAGGTTCTGTGTCAACAGTTACAAGTGATAAGTGCAAATTAAAGTTATTTTTATTTATAAGTTTTGTTGCACTTATCTATATTTTTTGTTAATATTCAGTGAATAAACCTCACTTTGTAAATAAGTTTAGTTTGTGTATATTTGCATTTTTGTGTACACAGTGTATCGTTTGATAGTTTTCCATTCATTTTGTAGTTATTTGAGCATTGTGGGAGCATTGAGTAATAAAAGCTTCCATAATGCACCTTTTGAAAGGAATAAGACAAATAAAGAGAGCCATGGAAAAGCAATAAAGATTTGTTGTTCTGTCATTTTTGTCAGGCAAAACTGTGGCGAAGACAGGAGTGAGAAGAGCATCGGGCGAGCGTGAGGCGATGCAGAGGCAAGATGAAAAGAGAAAAATCCAGTGGCCACTAACTTGGGCTCGCGTGTTATTCGCCGGTCAAGGATGAATAAGAGCGCCGAGCGAGACTTTCTCTTGATGGGCGATGTGTTGCAACTGGTTTTTGAATCAGAGTCGCCACCCTTAATTTTTATCCTAAAGGAAGGGAGTATAAAGGAATAATCCTAAAGTTCAGAGATTCTAGATTTGGACTCGGTTCTAGACGAGGGGAAAGTGTTAGGCACCCCTTATCTACCTTGTTCACAAGGATACTAGGTTTAAAAGCGCAACTTTAGGAAAAAGGGTTTTTAATTTATTAGGGGAAATGGTTTAATTTTAATCAGGGGGACTAACCATGATTTTAATCGTATGCCTACGTGTCCTCTTAGGAGGAATCAGAGTCTCATTTCGTAGTTTGCGGTTTGGTTGGTGTTTTTTAGAGGATTGCATAGAATTATTTTCGAATTTATCCTTAAACCTTGTCTGGGTTGTAAATTGAGTGATAGTAGACGTAGTTCGTAGTTTAAATTTGAAATTAATTCTCCTTAATCCTTTTTCGAAAATATCTTGTAGTTTGATTATGTTAGTAAAAAATGAGTTGATGTTGGTTAGCTATATTAAGACGTAGAGCGGGGGAGTATGATATAGTCTCCTCATCATGTGGCCAGATATTGGCCAAGTGTCGCTCGTGGATGGTGAATTTAGTGAGTTGCGTAGACTTTAATTGTTTGATTTTGAATAATAAACCAGTAGACGATGTGTCGACCAATTTAATTACTCAAAGATATACATCCTATTATTTATAGAATCTTTGAATTAAGTATTAAAAAAAGTTTGATTTATATATTCATTATTTATTTTTTAATATTGATTTTTAGATAAACAAAATTTTAACAAAGAAATTAGTCAATCAAATAATCTAACCAAATAAACAAAAGTCTAATTAAATAACAAAGGGTGCACAAGATAAAGAAATGGTGTGCTAAATAAATGTGTAGAAACCTTAAAGCCAAAGTCCATATTAAAACTCTAAAGATTTAACCTTAATTCAAGTCATGATTTAGTAATAGTAATAATTTAAATAATGTATAAAACAAAACAAAAATCAGTACATTATGGGGGGAGCGCCCCTTTTGTTACGTGATTGCCGTTAAACAAAATGAGACATAGTAAAAAACTAAAATCGGACTAATTTAATCTATTTTATTAAAACCCAATAAGAATATGACACTTGGCCTTTTAGATAAAAACAAGTTAAATAAAAAAACAACTTATAATTAAGAGAGAGAACCAAATACCAGGACTACTTTCTTCTTTTTCTCTGTATTGCTTCTTCTTCGGAAAATTCTTCACAATTTTATTCACTCTTTTTTCAAGCTTCTCACAACATAAATATGCTACCTAAGAAACATGAAATCAAGATAAATAAAAACAGAAACTAACATAATGACGATGGCAAAAGATGCAGGGGACGATTGGATTCGGTTTCCGGCGAGGTTGTCAGCGAGGGCTGAAGGTAGAGCTTGGGCGCATATTAGATCTGGACGGAGGTGCAGTGGTGGTTCACGAAAGAAGTTGGAGAAGCGAACACCGATGGTTGAAGGCGACGACGTGGGTCCGCGCGGCTTCAAGGAGAGTTGCTGGAAGGAGTGAGAGCGGCAGGCTTCACCGACGGAGATCGTCGGGTTGCAGGATGGTCTCACGGTATTTATGCATAGTGAAAGGGATTGGCGGCTTCATCAGTATGAAATTGGAGATGGTAGAAACAATTGTTATCCTCTCTCTTCTCTATACAAACAAAAAGAATAACAATACACAATTTTCCAGATCCTTTTCTATTTGATTTTTTTGTAGTTTGTAAATGTTAGTTTTGGAGATCTGAGAACAAATTTTTGTATGAAAACTATTTGACACAATAGAATCTCTAATGAAAAATTATCTGAAATTTTGCAATGAATTTTCTTGTGTGTAATTAGTGTACCAATAAGACTTGGATGAAAGTTTTATGTTAGTTACTACTATAAACAAAAACCAAAGAGTGAATAAAAAAAAGGTTTGTTGAGACTGCTCCATCGGATTCCTGCTCCAAAGTTCATAAGAAAAGCTATGAAAAAGATTTGGTTAATGATCTAAAGTTTGTGTTTTATGCCAAAGTAGAAAGAAAGAGAAAAACATGAAAGAAAGATGATGACATATTATATGGTTAGAAAAAAAATATATGTAGATCGTTTAAGAACATTAGCACCAAGTTAAACCAAAATAATATATAAAAAAATAATAATGTTAGAGTTATTGTGTGTGCAAGTTAGTGTTAAAATTGTGCACATGGCGTATTATTGTGGATACTATGAGAAAATATTGTAAGCGTGCACATGATGATAACAACACAAATCCTCGTAATATCAAGAAAGACAAAAAATGAAAAGGGTGGCCTCATGTTAAATTAATTTAAACACATATTTGTCTAACTATTAATTTGTTAATCATCCGTCAAAATAACAAAATAATACCAAATATTTTAAAAAGAAACTTTGAGAAGAAAGTGAATGAAATTGTGAAATTCTTGATAAATGTGTGTGAGAGACTAGGACAACAATAGTCCTATTTATAGAGTTAATTAGGTTAAAAAAGAGACTTAGAGACTAAGTTTATCCAAAGACCCAAAAGAAAAGGCCAAAGTTTGATATCTAAAAAAGGAAAGAAAATTAGCAGCAAAAAAAGAAATAAAAAATTGTTAAAAATGCAATAAACAAGATTCAAACCCGCAACCTCATATTTGCAACCTTCATTCTTTACCAATTGTACTATGTTACCCATTTGTAAATAAACTCAATTGAAAGTATGTGAAAGGTATGCAAATATTTGTTATTTTAAAGATACAAATAATTTGAAATAAATCATTATATTTTTAAATAGGTTTGGAAGCGAATATTTATAAAAATCAAATAATATTATAAAAACAATGTTTAAAATATTTTTGACTGAACTTGAGTATGAACATCTATAAAAATCAAATAATTTTATAAAACAACGTTTAAAATATTTTTGACTGTAGAAATAAAAGGGCGGGAAAATTTGGGATATGACACGATGCTTGATATTTTTTCCTGTTTGCATGTGTGGCGCAGGCAGTGTGGGTGAATAAAGGCCTCTCATTGGGTGATACTTTCAAGCGTTAGGCGATGCTGTCTAAACAGATTTTGTATATATTTTCATTTAATTTAATTTTTAGGTTATAGAGTTTTGTAGTATTTGTTCCCAACTTCATCCCCTTCATTCTTTGGTAGTTTAGAGCTTAGAAAATAACAATGGAGCTTGCATCTGGATGATCCGAGGTCTAATTTCTCATCAATTGGTGCTGACAAACCAAAAGATGTTTGGCTCCTCTTCCTCTCTTCTCTTTGTAATCTCTATTTGTCGGAGTTTGTATGTAAATTTACCTTGATTATATGTATATTTATTGTTCACGGTGTTGTATGAGACTCATTTTACAAATCAATATTGATGATTTCTTTCTTTATTTGGGTTTGAGTTGTTACAGAAATGGACGGGTCGAATCCAGATTTAGAATGAACATCTATCAGGTTCTAGACTCTAGATATCGATTTAGGCTTAATATTCACTTCGGTATCGATTCTTAATGCCTATGTTTTGTTTGTGTTGCATTGAGATATTGTTGATGCGAGTATTACAGTTGGTGTCTCACTCTGTGTTAGAGATAACCTCTATATGAGAGATACATGATAATGTTGACAAGTGATTTAGGTTACGTACAAGTGAATGATAGATTTAAGTATTTGATAGGGTAGATGAAATGCATACCCGGGAGTTCTGTACTCTCCGAAGAATGAATTCTTTTTCTGTTGATAAGTTTTAATTCATGCATTAACCTTTAAACCATTCAAATCTAAACTTATAAACATGAGACTTGTCGAACGATAATTCATTAGCAATGATCTCTGTGGTCATGATAATTTCCCGGATTAATATTTTCCAAATCTTTTGCTTTCCACTTTACCGCTTCAACAACATGCAATTAATTTTTATTTTTTAGCTTATATTACTTGTATCCCAACTGTGATACGGTGGGAGAACTGACTTGAGGGTTTTGCGTTTTATCTCAAATGTTGCGGTTAGCAAGAGTCGCCACCGACTTTTCTTTTATCCAAAAGGAAAGGTGAAAAAGCACAGGAAAGACCTTTGAGATTGTTTCTTAAGTTCGGGGGGTAGATTATGAAAAGGAAAGGTATTAGAATCCTTTTCTTACATGGTTTTCCATGGGCTCTTAGTTACTTGTTAGATCACTTGCTTTTTGTTTTGAAATTGTGCTTTGTGTGGTTTTGAAAGTATTTTGTAAAAGAGGCCGCTGTTTAGGCAATCTTTGTAATGATCCTCGTTCGTAAGAATGTATACAAAGATGTTTGTCTTTTTGGAAATGTTTTCAATGTTTGTAAGATGTTTGGAAATGTGTGTGTTTGTTTTGAAAAATAGCAAGGATAGTTGTTTGAAATAGAGCAAGTAACCAAAAGTAATCCACCTACTCAAATGTCTTTCTTGTTCATTTTCTTTTCCTTTGATATTGTTGTCTTACCATTGTTTTGGTAAGCAACCCTATCTTTGGATGTAAACGGGACGGACGTGGGTCATCGTATAACCATGATTAGTAATGTTGCAAAGTATATTAGCATTTTGAGGGACCAAGATCATTTTGTAAGGCAACTTTGAATAGCGTCATTGAGGGACTATGATCTTATACTTGTTTAGTTTTGCCAAGATACTTCGCATGCGTAATATGGCCATTTTTGTGTAAGGCAACAGAGTGGAGTAACCCTAAGGGTGCTTATGTACAAGTGTGTTATTTTCATGCTTGGTTTTGTCTTGAATTAGGGTTTTCTATTTGATTTGTTTTTATCTTGCCATACAAACCCTAATTACTAGCATGGTATATAAAAGCGATAAATTGCATAATTTAAAGATTACTACGCTATTACAACATTTTATGGGAGGGGGGTATACAAATTATGAATGAGGATTTGCAATAATGTAAATCTAATTAAGCTATTACAACCAAATCGAATTTGTACAAGTATTTGAATGAACAATATACAAAATGTGGAATGGTATGTATATGCAAGAAAAGATTTTTGTTTTGTTTTTTCATATAAAGAAGAATTTTGAATTAAACCTAATAATATTAAAAAGGAAATTATTTATTGAAAAAGTGGTTAACCCTAATTTCTAATTTAAAAGAAAATAAAGTTCTTTAAGTATTATTTTTTGTGTATTTTTATCTTAAAATAATAAATAATATTTATGAAAATATTTAGTCTTTTTATATGTCAAAATAAATATTTACAAGTATGAAAAAAAAGGAATAAAAATATATCTAATTTTAATTTATTTACAAGTTTATTTAAGAAAAATAGTTAGTATATAATAAAATAAAATATATTTTTTTATGTGAAAATAAAATAAAATAAATCAAAAATGCAATATTTATCATATTTATATTTTTTTATGATTTTATAATACTTAAGGAAATATATTTGATAAAAAAATGGAAATAAAAATAAATAATAAAAAGATTGGGCCAGGGGTGCTGTAAGGAGAAAGGGAGGTAAGTGTTAGAAAACAAATGGAAAGCCCAGAAGCTGAGCCCACGCTGCCAAAAAATGCCAAAAATGAAACTGAAAAAAGAGAAAAATGCAAAAGGTAGCGCCAAGGTTCGAACCCACGACCTATGCATTTTTAGCGCGCTACCTTGCCACCGGGGTGGCTGTACATCCGTTAGTTTAAATGAAATAAGAAAAACATAACACATAATGCCTCCTTGCCATATACTTCATCTTCTTCCTCAAGCTGGCCAGAAACTTTGTATCTTTCTCATTTCTCCATGAAAATGGAAACTTCCAACATGAAAATGATAATACTCTTTCCCACGATTTCAACCATGTAACTCATGTAAACTAATAATCAAAGATCAAAGCGAATTTTAAAGGCCCTAATTTCAAACCTAATTTTTACAGAAATTTGAACTCTAAAATTCTCTATACACAATGAATATAAATGTAATTTATGAACATGGTTAGTTTTAGCACAAGGATATCTACATTTTATCTTCACAAATCGTGACCAATAGATGCCTGTATGAAGAGATAGAACTTGGAGTTCTTACCTCTTTCAGCGGAGATCGTGAATGGAGTTTGAGTGAGTTTTGTGAAGGCCCGGAGATTCCTTTAGCTTGCCTGAACCTCCCTGAGTGTGTTCCAATCCTTGCCTTGCTTTGGAAGTGCCTGAATCTCTCTATCCAAGTCAACCTGCAAGCTTGAAAAACAAAAATGGCAGATGGAGAAGGAGGAGTTACAGTGAAGGGGTGATGGTCTGGAACACTTAGATATGAGGTAGGTTAAGTGTTTGAGTGATTAGAACTTGAAACGCACGAGTAAATGTCTGGATTGCTTTGCTTGGTCTCAAACTGCAAGTTTATGACTGGTTTTTGATGATAGGGAGTTTTAGAGATTTTCTGGCCTTGAGCAATAGTGTCTTTTATTGTAATGTGTTTGTGTATAAGTATAAGGAAGGTTTCTAATCCACTCCACAATAGATTTCTCAGTTATAGGCTTTTTGCACTCTTACTTGCTTTTTAAGAAAGG